AAAGCTCCAATCTATTCGTGGGTAACAACACGTGCTGGGAACCGGGCCCAGCGTCCCATATGGACATTTACACAGAATTGAAAATTTTTTGAAGTCTTAAGATACCGGGGCCGTTACCCGGCTATTGCTGAGAAAAATTAGAACTACTAAGGAAGATTGCAACATCAAACTACTACAAGCCATCAACCCTCTTTACCTCCCTCCGACAAGACTTACTGCAGCAGAGCCACCATCTCCGCTGCTGCCGTACCCTAATTCCATCCTTCTAGCTAGCCCTCCTCACTAATAGGACGTTTGACATCCCACCATCTACTTATCCCACTCACCTCAATTTTGAGAAATTCGAGAAGATTTGAGAAAAATATAGAGAAATTGGAGAAACGAAAATCAGAGCTTAAACCGCCACCAATTCAAGTCAAACCCTCGCTACAGCCGAGAAACCGCCACTCAAGCCTTCAGTCCTCGTACCAGAAGCCGCCAGGTCTCACACCCCCCTTGCTAGGGTTACAAGGCAAAACAAACTGCCCCAGCACCGAACTAACTGTCTTCTGACGGACAGGAAGTGTCTTCCTCCCTTGACAACTTCCTTAGCTGCCAACCCCCAACCGGGTTACAGGGTCACTGCCCCAGCCTCAGCTACGTTCAAAGAGGTGGTTATGTCTTCCACCCTCGGCATAGCTTCAATGGCCTCAAGCTCCTCTCCATGGTCACAGAGCCGCTGCCCCAGCACCGGCCACTGTCGCCCCACCCCGTCCTTCTGGTAGACTTACCACCCTGAGTCACCCTTCCCCTACTGCGCGAGCCCCCCCCAAAATTACTTCCAAACCTTCCTTCCGATTTTCTCCCTCCATATGAAAAAAACGAAAAGGAGGAAGGTCAAGAACTACAACCACTAATAATCCAACTCCTACCCTCGTCACTAATGAAAGATACGTCGACCCCAGCTTTCAGTCCTCGTACCAGAAATCATTAGATCTCATACGCCCCAGCTAGGGTTACAAGGCAACGCAAACTGCCCCAGTACTGATCTAACTGTTTTTGACGGACAAAGAGTGTCTTCCCCACTCGACACCTCTCTTAATTGTATAGCCCCTCCAAAACGTTACAGGGTCACTTCCCTGACACCAACTACGTCGGGCGAGATGGTTATGCCTTCCACCCTCTGCATAACTTCAATGGCCTCAAGCCCCTCTGGTCACAGAGCAAATGCTCCAGCACCGGCCACTGTCATCCCACCCCACCCTCCTGATTAGACTTACCACTCTATCTCTCGGGGCCCTGCCAAATTCGCTAGGATGTCCAGTGGTCCGTGGGGAGTTTATCTCCTCAACGAGTACCCCGGACTGAGGAATTTCTTAAAAAAGAAGGGTGAGCATGCATGGGTTTCGTAGAGGAAGGGCGGTAGTACCCATGGGTTGGAACCGGGGTAGGCCCGAATGTGTCAAATTGGGTCCTGTATACTATTCGTTTTTGGAATCGGGGTCGTTTTTTGTGGGAACGAGGAAAGCTCCGATGGAAATCGAGCTCTGGGAACGCGCATGCGGGCCAACCAAGGAAGTCCAATGTAATGTATCCGATCCGGTTGTTTGGTTTGTTACATTTGAGATAGTAGGAGTAGCGAATGATGTAGGTAAGCCGGAGCAGGGAGGTCTGTTTTTTCCAACTTTAGAAGGAAGGCGAGTAAAGCACACGAAGGGATCGAAGAAAAAGAGAGTATGCAGAGTTGGGAACAGTGGGAACGGAGGGAAAGTCGGGGAGATGTCAGAAGAAGACCGGTGAGAAAGAGGAAGAGGTGTATGAGAAAGAAAAGGCGGAGGGTGTTTACGACAGTATACAGTAGTAAGAGAAATGGTGAGCGTGGGTGCGAGTAGTAAGGTGGTCGGAGACGAGGAAGAAGAAAGGGAGGAAAGGAAGGTGCAGAGGGAGGAGTGTGGTGGGAGACGTGAATAGGAAGGCCGAGAAATGAGGAAGACGAGTATGGCAAGATCAGGGAGGAGTGGCGAATCGGTAAGGGAAGGGAGAAGGAGGGACGATCCCGACAAAGGACCACCGGATTGAGGGAAGGATGGGATGGGGAAGGGGAGCGGGAAAGAGTCATGCGTTCAGAATTTGTGCAGAACGCGCCAGTTGCCAAGCCGAGTGAGAAATGAAGAGTGTTGACAGAGCGGGAAA